TAGGTACAATGTTTTTTTCTGTGTCTTCTTTCAAGATTGTCTCTTTGACTTTGGTTTTCTGCAGTTTGAATATGGTTTGCTGAGGTGTGGATATTTGGGTATTTATTCTGTTTGGCATTCTCTGAGCTTTCTGGATTTGTGATGTCTGTCACTAATTTTGGAAAAGTTTCAGCCATTATTACTTCAGATATTTCCTCTGCTCCATTCTTTCTTTCTTCTCCTGCCGGTATTCCAATTACATAGTAATTTAAAATTATCAAGTAGAGTCGTATTTTTAACATGGAAGGATATATATGCTGTATCAGTAGGAAACTTAGAGATGTGAAACGACAATAATCATTCATCATTTCTCACAGCGTCTCTGGGTCAGGAATGCAGACTGGGTAGGAGAAACAGCTTACCATTCAGAGTCTGGAGTCTCAGCTGAAAGATTTAAAGACTCTGGGCTAGAATCATTTGAATTGTCACGCGTATGGTAGCTCATGCTTGGTCTTGGCTCATGGTCGAGACCTTAGGTCGGACAGTCAGATGGTACATCGGCTGTAATCTCTCCCTGTGTCTCAGGCTTACAAGATGGTGGCTAGGCTCCAAAACTGAACACCCAGTTAGCCAGCCGAGAGGCGTATTCTTTTACTACCTCTGCTTGGAAGTCACACAGCATCACTTCCACTGAATTCCACTGGTTACGTACTTACTAGCCCCTGCACAGATTCAGGGAGAGGAAATGTAGAACTCACTTCTTGGTGGGAGAAATGTCAATGTCACATTATACAAAGAACATTTGAGATGGGAGAGAAATTGGTGTGGTCATCATGGGAAAGTATAGTCTTCCGCATCTGTCACAGCTGCAAATGTGCATGGACTCTGACCGAACAGTTCAATCTCTAGCAGTTTCTCTTACAAATGTAGGTGTACATGTACCCAGGGATATCTGCGTGAGGGTGGTCATTGTGCATTGGGCCAGCAAAAACCAGAAACCATCTAAACACTCATCAATAAGCGAAATGGTTAAATAAGTTATGGTAGGTGTCCATACTGTGGAATGTATCATGAGGTCGTTAAAAAGGATGAAGTTTATTTATGCAGATGTGACAAAATCCATTAGATACAAGTAAATCAGGATTGAGAATTTTTCCATTAAAAAAGGATATGTGTATGTGTGTATATTTGCATAAAAAATTTCTGGAGAGACAGAAAATAAACTGATGCAAGTTACCTGTAGAAAGGGACTGCTGCTGATCTGGGCTGGGAGGGAATACTTAACACATCAGTATATGTTCTTTCGTACTCTTTCTGTTCTTTAGCATGTGTCTGTTTTCCTTTTGTTTAAAAAATAGTCAAAAGAAGACACTTATGTGTAATTGGATATGAATTCTGGAATATATTCTTAAACCATGAATAAGTGAAAGATTGCTTTTCTGCCTCTCTGCACAAATATCAAACAATAATCAGGGTGACAGCTTGTTGTATTCTGCCAGATATTTTTGCATGTGCCATACATTTGTATATACAGATACAGGCTTTTTCAACAAATACAGGTTGTTTTGTAGCTTGCTTTTCCGTATGAATCAATAATACATCAAGGGCAAATTCCAATGTCAGGCACACCGGTCTACCTCATTCTATTTAGTGGCTGCATAGCGTTTCATGGAATAAATGCACTAACTACGGTTTGCTTATCCACTCCCGTATGGATAGAAATGTAGGTTGTCTTCAATTTTTCACCGTTGTATTAATATCATATTAGTTTCCTATTGCTTCTGTAACAAATTACCACAAACTCAGTGGCTTAAAACAACATGAATTTATTCTCTTACAGTTCTGGAAGTCAGAGGTCTGAAATCAATTTTACTGGCTTAAGGTCAAGCTGTCAGCAGGGCTGTTTCCTTCTGAAGGCTCTGCAGGGAAAATCTGTATCCTTGCCCTTTTCACCTCCTAGTGGTTGCCTGCAGCCCTTGGCTCGTGGCCTTTCATCTGTCTTCAAAGCACAGTACTTCAGTCTCTGCTTCTGTCCCCACGTCTCCTTCTCTCGTGACTGACTCCTCTCGGGTCCTGATGAGGATCACTGTGATTACATCAGGCCTGCCTGGACTGTCCAAGATAATCTCCCTGTCTCAAGATCCTTTATTTAAACAGATCCTCAAAGTCCCTTCTGTCATACACGTGACATTTACAGGTTCATTGTTCAGCCTGTCACAACCATTAACTTATAAGCAATATTGCAGTAAGCATCCTTGAGCAAGTATCCCTACCCAGTTGTGTGATTGTTTCATGTGGTAGAATCCTAGAAATGCAAAGACAAAATGATGTACTTTTTTTTTTTTTTTT